CCATCAAGTGAGCCCACCATCCCATTCATACCGTTACTGTACTCATGCAAATTTCTACTAGGGTTGGAGATGATGCCAGGCACCTGGCCATTGACTGTGGAGCCTGCTCTGGGTAAGCATTCATGTTCCTGCAGCAACAGAATGCATTCTGATCCATCTGCCTGTAGAACTTGGGACTTCTCGAAATTGAAGATCACTGGCAGCTCAGTGGGAACAGTTGATAGCGATGATGCTACTGTAAGAATCCACCCCTGCTGGCTTCGACTCTCTGCTGACATTGAGAACAGATTTCTGGTGGATCATATTAGGTTGATGATACTGTAATCTATGCAGTGCATAATATTCCAGTACTATTTATTGATACTAATATTTATGGGTTCTCTGTATTAATCCAATGATCTGTTGTCTTAACTGTGTTCTGAAAACACTTGGGTATCCAGTATATAAATTTCGGCCTGAAGCTTACCAACTCCAGTTGTGCCTCTTTGGCTGGTTACATCTGCAGAAGTCTTTTGGAGGGGTGATGGCTCTGTTCTTCTGATGCTAAGCCCAAGTCTCACTTTCATTTCATTGAATCAATCAGCATAGTGAGTTGATGATTAGCATGCCACTGCTTTGGAAGTCCTTGAGAGAGACGTCGGAGGGCTTCATAGTGCCTGTCCCATGTGATGTCTCCATCAATACTCATTAGATGGATGAGAACATCTTGATTATGAATAGTGTGTGCTGGACAGTGATCATCGTTCTGGATACTTTCTAATTAGTGAACCGAAACGAGAAAATTGAACATGTGACATGGTCAAAGCTTGGCTCGTGAATCTCGATGCCAGGCTCCACCACAGAATTTCAAAGCTCATATCGAGGTGCTCAGATGTGCTGCGAAAGAAGGTGTCCAAATTAAGGTCTACTTGCTGTCTATATACCATTAGGAATGCTAAGGCTCATGCTTGGTCAGAGGAGGTTCAGCTAGGAAGGATACGTGTCTTTAGCAGGCACTTCAATAGGAGGAGATAATTTGTGGTATGTTCTGATGAACAGTTCAAGAGGACATTTACAGCACACTGTTACCAGATTCTGCTAGGCAAATACAGGCACAGTGCAGTGCCAAGTTCAGCCTAATGACAAGGCAATGCAGCTACGTTATAACAGCTTTGGTACTATCAACCAGAGGTGTTAAAATAGGCTGAGTTGGCGTGTGGCTGATCATCTGGAAGATAGATAGATACCTGGGTCCTCAACGGGTCCTGGATGTTGGATCAAACTGGTGATGTAAGCTGCTTTTGGCTATGCATGTGCATGACGCATCACCCAGCTGGGTGGCAACTATTTTGCGTGGGTCAAAATGGAATCAAAATCCTTGGCATCTCTCTAATAAGGAAATACTGAAGGATTTTGACTGATGCAAAATCCCAGAAGTGCATTTTGATGTCATTTTGACTCATGCAAAATAGCTGTCACACAGCTGTGATCACGTTTCCTTCAACTTGTTCCAGTTTGTCTGTTTTTTACAATATGACTAGATCCCCCCTGCTCTTCTGCAGTCCTGTCTCATGAAGTCTCATGTATATCCAGTCTCTAGAGCTATGTTCTCTCTAATTCTACCAAGTCGACAATCCAAGGCTGACGTCCATGCTGGAAGATCCATCTAGCTCTACTATAGTGATTGTTACAGTGCTAGCAGTGCAGTTCATTGAAACATAGAATCACTTCATCTCATTACTTGCTTCACCAGTAATTCCCTTGCACCCCATTCTTCTTGATGGTGCAGCATCAATCTTATAGTACTAGTCAGCATTATGCATTTGATACATGCTGTGCAACATTAATTATGCTCTTCTGAGCACATGTCAAGTATGTAGCTTATGTTTGCCATTAATTCTATTAGCCCAAGTCAGGTGCCACTATCACCATGGCTGGCAATATCACCTTCGCCAAGACCTCTAGTGTGTACCTCTCATAGGCATCTGACTAGAATCTGACTGTTGATGTCTTCCTAGGCGATGGACCATTGTTCACCATCGATGGTGATGACATCATGTTCAATGGCATGGGATACTTGTTCGACATGAGCTTCATTGACATGTTCCTAGGCGATGGACTGTTGCTCACCATTGACGGCGACAACATCACATTCAATGGTGTGGGATACTTGTTCAACATGAGCTTCATTTCATTGTTTTCCTGCTTCAGTGTTACAATGTTTATCATAGGGAAATGGTGCCAAGTACTGGGATGGTGAAGGCACCAACGGTGGTGTTGACAAGCCCCATCCATTCTTGAAGTAGGTCCTTTTCATATTCATGGATAGTGTTTGATGGCCTCACTTTGTGCGTAGGTTCAAGGGTTCTGGCACATACTCTGACTTCACAGTGAGTTACCCTAATATCTTCCTCTGTACAATTCTGAATGAATGTGACAGGTCTTGAACAGCCCTGCTCAGGCTATCTCTATCAGCAACAGTGACGGCCTCATCTTTGACAGCATCACTGTATGCCAGATTCCTCTCATTTGTCTTTCAGGAGCTTACCAAACCTCCATAGGTGGACAACAGTGATGGTGATGATGATGACCTTGGTCACAATACCGACGTGAGTGTATTTTCTTCTTGTCTTGCTGCAACATTTTGATAGACTACAGGGTTTCAATGTTTCAGCTGATGATGTGACTATCCAAAACTCTATTGTGAAGTAGGGATGTGCACCGTACCATATATGATATATGGCCATAAAGCCATTGTCCCAGATGGTCCATGGAACTATCTGTATACTGTGCTGTATGGTCAGTTTGAATTAGTGTTGCCGCAACTCGGCTAAACTTGGCTCGGCTAGACTTATTCCGACTTTGGTAATTGCTCTTAGCTGAGTCGGCTATAGCCAAAATTATTACCTGAACTCAGGCTAGACTTCGGCTTTAGCCGGCTTGAGTTCAGACTAATGTATAAATAAGGCAATTGATAAATTAAAATGCATCATTGCCCTTTTCTAAGACAAGGCCTTTGATAAATGCCTGCATATCCTCCGGAATTGATGTCTGCTGCTCGATTAATAACTCCAGCTCATGAATCTCTGACATTTCATCTGTTCCCTCCATAAAATTCAAGCCCCGCTCTTTTCTTACCGAGAATTTCAACATCTGTAGTGCTTCCATTGAATCAGCACCTAGCCAATTCCGCCGCAGAGTATCAGTCTCTTTCCCACTGGAGAATACCCGCTCAGAGGGCACAGCAGTGCCTTGTATAGGCAGAACATCTAGTGCAAATGAAAAGATTGTTGGGTAACGCTTCTGATTTTCCTGATATAACACATCAATACTAAAGACTAAGTAGCTGAATCGTTGCATGCTTACCTGCCAGAACATCAGAATTGATACATCACTTCTGATCGGATCCGAGAGATATCTTTCAACCTCAACGTCAAGGCTGTGCCACGGTTCTGAACTGGTAGCATTAGCATGCCTGTCCAAACGTAAGATATTTCTAGCACGAATAAGCGGGTTTCCTGAATCTGAGGTTGTCGGTGGCACTGGTGTGTGAAGATCCAGCATATTGTGGTATTTCTGAAGCTATCAAAACAAGTTAGGAAGGATCAATGATAAATGACATAAAGCTCGCACCGTATTTATGAATAGATCCTTGACTTCAAGAACTTCCCCTGGCAAGTTTTTCTGGGCCCACTGGAGCTTGTATGCAGGATGGATAACTGCTAAAATGTGAGTAAAGAATTGAAAGCTAGAGAATGACATACGTATCGCCAAGGAATAGATCGGAACATTGCCAACTCGATTACGATACTCAGCAAGTTTATCGAGGCCCTTCGCAATAACGTTGGCAGCATGGGGCATTTCCTTCTGTAGTTCCTCCCACGTTAATTGCATTGCTTCAAATGCCGGGATGGTGTCAGAAATGCATGGCGTCTTTTCACATGAGAGAATTTGCTGAAATGCGTGCGGAACCTGGGAAGCAATGTCAGCTGGGAAGTTCCTGAATGAAAATAAGCACACAGCAAGTATATCTTTGAAATCAGAAAGAGCACCCCACTCTGCACTACTCAGTTGATACTTATGAAATTCAGGAAAGTCTCGAGAGCTAAGGAAGCTATCAATTGCCTTTAATCAATGATGAGAGCAATACAACATGATGTAAGGAGAGAACTAACTGGACGCAGATATAGAACATGTTCAATCATGAGCAAAGTCGATGACCAGTGTGTAACGACATCTCGCAGTAATTGAAGATTATCAATGTGCAGAGATTCAAGTATCTCTGAGAAAATTTGACGCCTTATAGATGAGCCACAAACCTGAAAAGCAAACATCAGACAGTCCAAGATTATAATGGGTCTATCTAAGACTCACGAGCCATACAATGGAACGAGCAGTAGCAATCAGATCACATCTGCATGCGGCCATAAAATTTGTTGGTCATCCTGGTTGCGGAATGAACTCGGTATCATCATGGGCATAGTCAATATTTGTGATAGCTGTCAAAACAGCCTTGCAAGCCAGGTTGACGATGTGGGCGAAGCAGCTAACAACAGTTAGAAAGGCAGCAAGTACTGGAATGATTGTCATACCGGATATGCCGTTTGATTGCATCAAATTCAATTCCACATTGCATTAGTAGCATCTCCAGGAAAGCCATCATTGTATCATTGTTCGATGCATTATCCAGGCTGATCCAACCCATCTGCAAACAATATAAACACCGAATAATGATCATTGTACACTGGAGAACATACCTTAGACACAATTTGAAGTCGATCAACAATGAAAAGGAATGCTCGTGCCAGATGTTCTCCATCATGATGGCCAGGTACACGATGGAAACCAATCAAATCAGCTCGCAGAGAAAGGGTCAAATACGGATCACTGCCATTTGGAGGATGGACCTCCTTGGTTTCAATCCAATGTGCCGTGACAGCCATGAAGGGCACAAGGTTGGCATTTGACCACATGTCACACGTGAAGGAGATTTTACCTAAAGCGCCCTGCACATATCTGAGCTAAGAGGCTTCCAAAACCTTCAATATTGTACACACCTGCATTTCCTTGGAAAGCTGCTTTAAATGATCCTCCCATATTTCCATAACTCGCTTCCAAATCTGTGTTCGGCGGGGAATATCATCGTCGGTAAGCTCCTCACGAAGCATCAAGAATATCCAGCGGAGCTCCAGAGACTCAACAACATTGAAAGACTATGATCATCATTAACGCTGCAATCTGAGTAACGCAAAGAAAGCCTACCTGGTCATTGCTAACAATAAAAGCAACCAACGCATCAATGAATGCTTCTAAAGAGAAGCCTGGCACCTCATCAAACCCACTAGGCAAGCTTGAATTCTGTTTCGGGTCCTGTCCCTTTGACTCCCGGTATGCGGCGACAGGACCCTCAGCTTTGTCCGCTGTAATCTTTACCTTAAGTCTGTCACATGCCTCTACCCAGAGTCCCAGGTGCTTCATAAGAAGGTGGTGCCACCAATTGCTTGTAGACGTTGTTGAGCGGCTGAATGACGTTGACTTCTTCTGTGCACTAAGTATACCAGCATAGAGTCAGTAGCCCTTTGCACGTAGAAAGAACAATACTCACCAGCAAAAGATGCAGTGTGCTCGATCTTCACGCACTTCGTAGAAGGGGCGAAGGTCAGGTATATTAGGCATCTCAGCTGTTGTATGCTTAGCACGTCAGCGCCTTCGGTTGCTCTTTGGAGTTGCAGCTACTGGCCACAAAACAGGCATAGGCGTGGCTGGGGTTGATGGCTCAGACAAGTCTTCGATGTTGAAAGTTTCGCCACCAGAGAACTGCACATTACGCAGAGGTTGAGCGTGTCTGGAACTACACTCAGGGGTGGATGTAAATGGGTTGTCGTCATCAGGATCAGGCTGACGCCTACATCGGCGAGCGGATTGCTGGGGCACAGATGTTACAGGCGGCGGAGGTGTTGGAGGTGTACCATGTGATGTTGGAGGCTGGCTGGCTGGAGCTGGACTATGGTGTTCTAATTAACGTACAGATATAAGTACATATGGCAGCTGTTGAAGATAGAAATACATACCTAAACCTGGTATAAAAAACCGTGCATTCAATGCGCCTCCTGGGTGTACGGTGATAGTCTCAGTTGGCCCAGGAGCCTCAGGATCAGCACCCATGTCATCGGGGACCACTGACTGCGCCGCGTCCTTTTCTGCGAGGTCGTCCGCGAGGTCGTCCAGGTGGTGCCATTAAATAGACAAGTAGATAGAAAGGGAGAAAAAGAGATGGGTAGGTCAATGGGACATGCTACGCTTGCTGAGAGAAGTATTTAAGGAATTTGCGCGATGCAGGGTGGCAAAATAGAAGGTGTATATTCTGTTAACCAGTATACAGAACATTTGTAAATTACAACAACACCAGGCGACTATCGGTACCTACGGGGGCTTCAATGAGCAGAGTTAGACCAAATAAAGAGTTGAATAATGCACCCTCCTCGTAATATTCGCTCATTCTACCATCTTTCACCCTGAAACTGCCTTGAGGCCTTGCTTGAGCCTTCGGCTAGGATTTGCCACAGCAGAGATGAAGAAAGCATGTTGATGGTCACAAAAGCATGCTTCAAGGTTGGAAATTGGTGGTAATTTGTTTCTACGTTGTAGGGATGTTGAGGGAACGATGGTAAGCGAGGGAGGAAGTCAAGAACGAAAGTCGGTTATCGATGATCAATTTGGTCATCGATAACCGGCTAAGTCGGCTCAAGCCGAACTCAAGCCGACTCCAAATGGGGCTTGAGCTCAGAATTAGCCTGAGCCAATCAAAGGCTCAGACTCGGCTTAATCCAGCTCAGCTACGTGACTAAGCGGCTTTTAGCTGAGCTGCAGCAACACTAGTTTGAATGCCTTGTCAGCATTGGTATGGGTACCTTACGGCCGTCTACAGTTGTTGATGACTGTGCACCTGAGTATGAAATTGATTTGCTCATAAAGAAGTGAGTCAGATGCCTTTAAGACTGCCAAAAATCTGTAAAATGCATCTGGTCTCATAAAGAGTCATAATCAGCTATGCTGCCTTGAGCAGGGCTAGAGGTATCCAGGAATTAAAATAAAGTCACACATATTGTCTTGATTGTGCATGAAAAATTGATAAGACAGCTAAAAGAGTGAGTTAGTAAAGATATGAAATTGAATAATGGCTATTTTGTATCATAGAGTTTCCCTAAAAAAGACTCTCGGCTGAGTCAAAAGTAAGATAAAAAATAAGCCATATTATGATGTTGTACGGCCGTCTGTGAGAGGTCTTGATGGTGATGGAACAACTGTACACTGTACCATACAAATGGCCATTGGGGTGTATTCAGCTTCAGTCCATATTCCATATAATAGTTACCAAAAACCGTACAATATGGTGACAGCGTGCATCCCTATCGTGAAGAACCAGGATGACTGTATCACTATCAATGATGGCTCGAACATCATGTACGTATCATTCTATTCATGAAACCACATCCTTACCTGATCCATTTGCTAGCTTCAAGAACAACAAGTGCTCTGGCAGCCATGGAATTTTGATCAGTTCCATCTCTAGCGGCAAGTCCGTCACCGATGTCACCATCTCCAGAAACACCGTTATGGACTCGATGTATGGATTCAGGTAAATATTCCGAGGCTCTTTCACTCTGTCACCCTTCTGAAATGGCACTCAGAATCAAGGTCAAAGCTTCTGCAACTAGTGCATTGGTCTCTGGTATCACGTACTCTGGGTAAGTATTACTTGATTTACATTCGTCAAGCTCTCTCCTTATCCCTGTTTGCATAGAAACACCCTCAGCAGCATCAATGAGTATGGTGTCTTGATTATCCAATCCTACCTTGATGATGAAGGTACCCCAGGAACTGGTGGTCCCATCTTGTGAGTCAAATCCATGTCCAGGCTATTAGTACAGCTTTTGATCTAGTCTCACAGAGACATGAACTTCACTGGAAGCACCACAACCATCAAGTGAGCTTACCATCCTGTTTATACTGTTGCCGCACTAATGCAAATTTCTGCTAGGATTGGAGATGACACTAAGCACCTGGCCATTGACTGTGGAGCCTGCTCTGGGTAAGCATTTGGGTTCATGTAGGAATGGTATACATTCTGATTTGTCTGTCTGTAGTAAAGACAGAGGATATAAGTATAGATCTCAGTCGGGCACAGTGAAGGTGGAATGACTATATTGAAAGGTACTGTACCTAAAGACAGAGGATATAAGTATAGATCTACGAATGAGTGTGAGTATGTTATAAGCTAAGGATGGTAAGGTATACATACCTCAGTCAGGCACAGCGAAGGTGGAACGACTGAGGTACATGGGTATCGATGGCTAGGCTATATAGGTGATCAAGTAAGGACAGGGGTGATATATATATAGTAAGTAAGAACGAACGACAGTGAAAGATAACAGTAAAAAGGTATACAGTATGGATATCTTCAACACTCCCCCATATCCGGACTACTCCATTGGAACAATGTTGAGGGCTTCAAGATAGCCATGGTGCACGTCATGGGGTAAGGCTTTCGTGAACATGTCAACAGGGTTCAAATTTCCATGAATAAAGTCAACACGTAAGTCGCCTGCCTTGACAAGCTCTCGAATGTAATGTTCATGAATACGGATATGTTTGACCTTGTGGTGAGCCCTTGTATTCATCATAAGTGCAATCACCCCTTGGTTATCACCCTACAAGACCCCAGGACATGGTTGAGGGAGCCGTACCTCGTCCATCCAGGACATCATCCACATCATCTGCTGCGCAGCATGGGTGAGAGATATATACTCAGCTTCAACAGTGGAAAGAGCAATGGCAGCCTGGCATTTGATGCTCCAGCAAACAGGGCCACCTGCCATAGTAAAGACATATCCTGAAGTTGACCGTGCACTATCGCGGCAACCTCCATAGTCAGTGTCAACAAATCCAACAGGCACTAGTGGTTCGTCTCGGGAGAAAACAATCCCATAGTCCATCGTACCCTTGATGTAGGTGACAACATGTAAGAGTGCATGCCAATGGGCTAGTCCCAGGTTAGACTGGAAACGAGCCAAAAGGCTCACTGGGTAACAGAGGTCTGGCTGAGTCGCAAGCTGTCCCCCACATAACTCGACCCAGGAGATGTCTGTATGGGTAGTGCTCCATGTCGTCTTCTAAGCCTGGGTCGAAGAGCATTGGGAGCTGTCAAGCACTATCCCTATGGGTAATGGGGCTGAACAAACTGTGATATATTCGAGGCCAAAATCCTCAACCAGGTTCTCCCAGTATGGATGCTGAGAGAATGAAATGGTGCCAGCCTTGAGGTCTGGTTGATCGTCATTCCCAAGAAGTAGTGATTCTCCCCCATGTCTTTCAGCTCCCACTTCTCCTCAAGTTCTCCTTTCCTCTGACTAGCCTCCTTCGCGCTTGAAGATGCTCCCCATACATCACTCGGTATATGTGTCTGTGAGGGGTTGTAATTTCCACCTGGTTCACCAATCAACCATATGCATGGGTCCGCTCATGATGTCGTATACCCTAAGTCATCGTACGTCTTCCCAAGGGTCTCAAACCAGTCGTGGCCACCCTGCATCGTTCCGTAAATTGTATGAACGAGCTTGCATACCTTGTCTTCCTGTCCCTCAACAACGTATCCCAGTGGTTGACACATATAAATATCCTCCTTCATCTCGCTATTCAAGTAGGCTGACACAAAGTCGACTTGCCATAGATGTAAGTCCAACTTGGTGGCAACACAGCAGACATGCGAACAGAGTCAAGACGAGTAATGGCAGCCCACATGTCGTTGTAGTCCAGTCTGTATTGCTGGGTATAGCCCTTTCCCATGAGTCTTGCCTTGTCCCGCAGCCAGTTCCTGCACATCCCACTTCATTCCAAACACCCATTTACAATCCATTATGTTAGCTCCTTCTGGCACATCTATGAGATCCCAGGTGTGCTTGGTCATGTGCATCTCGTACTCCACATCCATTGCAGCCTTCCACATGTCTTGTCAACCCTCATGGCGTCTCAGTAATTCCTTGGAATATAGGGATCAGGTGTGCTTCCCGAAGCAGCCATTGATGCCTGCAGCCTTCTGCTATTAGTGCCCACTCATCACCACGGTCTCTAGCTTCAGCCCTCTCATTGTTCAGAAAGCAAGGATTTGGTGGCACCATCACTTCGGGCATGTCAGA